ACTAAGATTAAAAGCTTAAAAAGAAAGATTTATATCGATCTGCAAATAACATGTATACGAACGCTGAGCGAAGATTTGGAACGATAAACAAAGTAATAATTGTGTTTAGCAGTAGGTGTTCGATCTTGCAAGAAATGGCATTGCAATATGTTAGATAAAGACAGATGAATGCGTTTGAGTGAAGGTCTGAGCTCATAACACAAACAGCGCTAACAGCGTTCTCCCCGAACGCAGCCACTGTTTCAAGATTATACATCAGCCATTCTGTTAAGGTCCTTAAGTGTAAGACACGTATTAATGCGTTTCTGTAAGGTGGAGTTTATGCCGAGAACGACCAAAAATTTGATATATTTTTTACCATTTCTTAGTGTAACATGTCGCCTCAAACTGTCAAGTCGTGACAACATTTGCTTGATACGAAAGTTTTGTAACCTTACGAAATAGTAATCCACAGATACGTAGTTTGCACGAACAAATAACATCGAGTTCTTAGCATTAGACTTAGATACTTTATCGCGACGAATTTGTTATACGAAAATTGACACGAACGTGCGACTGCGTGTATTATATTAGATTACGATTAACAGATGAGATACACGCTGGCTGTACTGTAACTTTCAAGCTCTATAACTCGGAAAATACTTAACGAAAAGTAACTTTATTATAGTGTTTTGGAAAGCTCTCGAGATAAGCTACAAGAATATGTAATAAAAAATAGGGGTTTCCATTTAAAAAAACATTAATGACCTTGACCTGATTTTGACAAGGTCACTCAAAGTCAAGTCCACATTTCCATCATATGTTCCCCTTCAAGTCATGCAACTTTCGTTCGAAAAATTTTTCAATAAAATCATCGATTCGCGAGATAATCGACCATATCACTTAAAATGAAACACCCTGTGTATATACAGGGTGTTTCCAAATTAAATGGCAAAACTTCGGGAGCGTGTAGAGGAGTAAAAAACTAAGAAAAAAAGTCCTATAGACATATGCTCGTTTTTGCTCCGTTTCAGAGAAATCGAAAAAAAATGTTTACATTTCTTGCCATATCTAGCACCGACATATTTGATTACATTTTCCACTTTCTGTTATGAATTTGTCAGTCGCTCTTTGAAAGCCTTTAACAGTAGATGAATTTTGTCTTTTGCAATATGCCGCGTACGTATTCTAATAGTGAATATGCTGATATGGTTTTTGTATACGGTTTCTGCAACGGTAATGCTTTAAAGGCGGTGCGAGAATATGCACGACGATTTCCAAACAGAAGAGTGCCAAACCGAAGAGTGTTTATGTTGACATTTAATAGATTGCGAGAGACTGGA